ACAGGATAGTCCTATATGGATGAGTGATCTTGAATGTACCGGACAAGAGGATAATCCATTCACTTGTTCACAAAAAGTAATGAAACATCATACAAACTGTGATCATAATCAAGATGTGGCCATTAGGTGTTCCAGTAAGCATATGTCACACACTCTCCCTGTAGTTACTGTCTCTCTTTGTCTTTACAGAGGCTGCTCGTTTGATTGGTGGTAATGATAACAGTGGACGTCTGGAGGTGTATCATGAGGGGAAATGGGGCTCTGCATGTAGTCACAAGTTTGGATATCCTGAGGCTAATGTAGCTTGTCGTATGATGGGTTACTCTAGTGCTGTACAAGTATTTACTAATGAAGAGAGTGCATATGATGATGATACAGTTGATAATAAGATAGTTGTATCACAGTTAAAATGTGATGGAACAGAGAATCATCTCTCTGACTGTGACTATATTCCTTTTGCTACAGATTGCCCAGAAGGAAAGGCTGTTCATTTGGAATGCAAATACTGGTAAATCCAGTAGATTTGATTTTCGGTTCTTATCCTCCTTCAGATATCTTTTTAGGCCAGAGAAGTAAAAGATAGCAAAATATTGTAGTGCATTGAACGATAACTCATAGCAATATTGATTAATTACATTAGTAAAAGTTACTTTAATTTATTAGTATTATAATTAATATGGCACTGGCCCAATCAATGGTATACATTGATGATAATGTATTTGCTAATGTGTATCCTTGGTTGCAGGAGTAAAATTAGAAGAGAAACGGCAATAAATAAGAAAAAGCAATTGTACACAAAATAAGCAAAGCACAATGAAGTACCATTTAAACGTTTTCCCACAATTAAAGCATGCTAAGTGAGCTAAACAGCATGAGCTTCATGAGCTGACAAGCACTACAATACAGTACATGGCATTTGGAGCAACTTTAAAAATTCATTAAAAATGCAAACTTGATTGGAATAGCCTAAAATTTGAAACATAACATATGGATGTATATGAATCAAAAAAATTATAAAAATGAAGAATTCCTTTTTAGCTATTTTGACAAAATTTAACCAAAATTCCTATACTATAGTACAGGGTGTTTGGCCCAATTTTCGAGCAAATTAAAAAAATACACTAAAAATTCAAACTTGATTGAAATCAGCTTAGAATCTACATGGCACAAAAACATGTACCAGCATCAGAAAAATTATAGAAATGGAGAATTCTCTCCTTGTGATTTTTGTCAAAAATACTTTATGCAGGTGTATAAATCTAGTACAGTTCACTGACTGAGTACCATGCCAAAATCCTGTGAGAAACCCTGCCACTGTTTATGTATTAACATTATACATTGGAAAATTTCATTTGCAGTGAATTGAAGACTAACAAGTCTAGATCTACCAATAAGCTTAATTAAAATATAGCATTTGTTATTGTAAGGTTCATTCATAACAAAACAGAGTTTATATTGTACAGCTTGTTAGAGAAGGTATCCTGATTGAATCATGAAAGGAGAAATTGCTGTAATTCTCTTTTTGACTTTAACTGTCTTTGGTCGCCAGATACCATCAGTTGGTGAGTGTATTATATAAAATAACTGTTTGAGTCAATGGATAATAGTTGACCAAGATGCAGCAGACACTGAAGAATGTGCTAATAGAGAAATAATAAAAGGTATGTATACATGCATCACACACCATCATTAGTAATTTTATTATTACTAGCTCCTGATGAGGTTGATGATCCAGTGGTGATTGATGGTGATATATTAGTGAGTAAAGAACAAGCAGCAATATACTATGAGAGTGGCTGGGATGGACTAGTAAACTCTGAAGCATGGAATACAAACCTGTACAAATGGAATAAGAGGATACCATATCAGATTTCAAAAGAAATTAAAGATCCAAGTGATTCAAAAATGAGATCAATGCACCTCAACATTAGAAGCTCACTGCAGGAGATTACTCAAAGAACTTGTCTATCATTTGAACCTGCAGGATGCATAGATTTTACATACCTTTATTTTGCCAAAGGAGATGAGTATGTAGATACTTGCAAAAAATACAAAAAATTATATTTATTATTAAACATTAGGTGTTATACATACCTTGGTGCTCCAGTCTTTGGAGCTAGGACAGTGTATCTTGGATATAGTTGCGGTGGGGGATCAAGTAGGGCCAGGACACCAGCACATGAAGCAATGCATACGATGGGTCGCTATCATGAACAGACTCGTCCTGACAGAGACACTTATGTTACCATTAATGCAAACTCATGTAAGTAATTCTACTATTTGTGTATGACTCCTTGTATATGCAATGGATTTTTTGTTGGTATGATTTGCAATTGTCCTTGTATGATAGAGAAATACTAATGCATGATGATGATGCTGTTGATATCAATTTTACACTTTTAGGTGATGATCAAATGAAAAAAAATAATAAGGCTGATACCTTAAACATTGGGTATGACTATAGCTCAGTGATGCATTACAGTCGCTGGCAGTGTTCTTTATCGAGACCTGACAAACCTTCAATGACTTACAAAAAATGGACTGGCAATGCTGACTATGTTGGCCAGAGACAAGTACTTAGCGCTAAAGACGTTGAACACATTAAAGTATATTACTGTCCAAGTGAGCTTTGTAGTGTACTAGTAACTGATGATAGTATTTAACAATCAGGTATGATGATGAGGCTGGTGGGTGGGAGAGATAATAGTGAGGGACGTCTTGAAGTTAATAATGAAGAAGTTTGGGGAACTGTTTGTTCTCATGGATTTGATACAAATGATGCTAATGTTGTATGTAAGTATCTGGGTCGTCCTGGTGTAGAGGAGGTGTACAGTGCAGCTCATATTCAGAATATTCAGTCAGCACAGGATAGTCCTATATGGATGAGTGATCTTGAATGTACTGGACAAGAGGATAATCCATTCACTTGTTCACAGAAAGTAATGAAACATCATACAAACTGTGATCATAATCAAGATGTGGCCATTAGGTGTTCCAGTAAGCATATGTCACACACTCTCCCTGTAGTTACTGTCTCTCTTTGTCTTTACAGAGGCTGCTCGTTTGATTGGTGGTAATGATAACAGTGGACGTCTGGAGGTGTATTATAATGGA